TTTGGATGGCACGCGTACAGCCGAAGCTCTCCAAGCTGGTATGCTCACCAAGGGAAGAAAACAGCAAGGTGAAGGACTCAGGTCAGAACCTTGTAAACCCTCCACAGCCACAGTTACCAAATAAGTCAGCTGTCAGCGAGTGGAGGGGCTCAGCCTGGGGAGAAAGGCTGTTCAGACGTGGAAGATGGGCAGTGCCCAGCACCGCAGCACTGTCAGGCAGATAAGGGGAAACGTCAGCTTCCCCAGAGGCAATGTGGAACTTCTGAAGAGCAGTTCCAGGTGGGTTCCTGCACAATGACAGGCACAGTGACCAGGGGACGCGACCATTTCCTTCCTTGGCCTTCCATCTCATCTCCCTCACCCAGCTCAACCTCCATTTAGACCAAGGCTCAAAGCCATCTGAGATTGGCAGCCTCCTATACCATGTAACAGAGCAGTTGCCATCAGTGCTTCTAAAGACACAGGGAACAGCAGCAGATCCTGACCAAAAGCATGGGAGTGCCACACATCTGCTGGCCTCGCTGTCTGCCAGGTGGCTTTAGGTCTAGGTGGAAGAATTGTCCTCTGTAGTGCATCGCTCAATGGGGCCATCTCTCTGGCTATGGGAGAGTGAGAATACTGACCCTGTACGGTGCCCTTCCAGGCCCCACCCTACAGACCAGGCCCCTGCCCAGCAGTGATGATCTCCTCCATGCCATGGATTTCAGCTTTCACTCTGCTGATACAAGTGAGTCGAACACTGGAACAATTCAGCAGTAAAGAGAATCATTTGGGTATGTGTGCAGGGCAAGCAGAATATGTGTGTGGCGTGTGGAATATAATAGGTGACTCCCCAACACTTCACAAATCCCATGGCCCAGGTCTCTCAGGAATAAGACAGCCTCTTCCCAGGGTCATTCTGATTATAAAAGAGATCTTGGCAGCTTCTCAGCTGTTGGGGCTCAAACCCCAGGGTTACCCCCTTCCTACACTCTCTCCTTCAACATTCTAACCACAGTACCTCCTGGGGCCCTCTCCTCAGAACTTACTCTGGTCCCCTGCCACACTCTATCCACTTAGTTCCTGGACTCTGCCCTCACCCGATAACTGGGTCTTAGTTTCTAGTCTTGGTCTCCCTTTTTGTTTTTTAAGGATTTATATATTTTTATTTTATGTGTACTGATGTTTTTATCTGCATGTGTGCCTGTAAAGGTGTCAGATCCCCTGAAATTGGATCTACAGACAGTTGTGAACTGTCATGTGGTTGCTGGGAATTGAACCCAGATCTTCTGGAAGAGAAGTCAGTGCTCTTACCCACTGAGCCATCTCTGCAGCCCTCCTTGGTCTCTATTTCTCCTACTCTGTTTTCTACATATTAGTAGCAGTGATTAAAGAAAACCAAAAGCAAGAGTCAGTAGATTATGCCCATCACCTATTCCAAGCCTTTCTGTGCACTTAGAATGTGCCTCTGTCCCAGGCTGAGCCCAGTCACACTAACCTTCGAGTCCCTTAACAACACTGAGTTCTTCTCCCTGTATGCCTGCACACCAGCTATCCCCACCCCCTCATCCTCTATTGTTGTTCCTGCTTTCGTCACTCAAGCTTTGGCACAAAGGGGCTCATTTGGGACCCTTCCCTGAGTGTCTGTGCAAAAGCTGACACCCTCCTCCATCCACATCTGCTACAGTCTGATTGTACTCCTGTCTCACTACTCTTTGCTCATTATTCATGCATTCAACCAATATCTCTTGGTGGCTCTATGCCAGCCAGGAAGCACATGTTAATTTCCAAGAATAGTATACATCCTCCCCAGATGACATGAAAACCACAAGCATAATGGCATGAAGGTGATGTTCCATAGGTATTTGATCTACAGAATGAATGACAGCTACAAGGTGATTTCCTGTGTGCTCAAGAAATCAGAACTGGCTGGAACAGCTTCTTGATCAGGCCTCACAGCTTTGAGTCGGCAGTATTCCAAAGTGGCCCCACCTCTGGAATAAATCACTCATTGCTTGTGTTTTTCCGGGCTCACCATGACTCCCTGCTTATGGATCCAGCCACCATTTATTTAGATCCCTTGTGCTCAGCTTCAGACAGTTCTTTCTGTGGGCAGGCTCAAAGGCTACCCTGGCCAAGCTATAGTCTGACTGACCAGAACTAAAGGTCACCCACATAGTTTAGCCAGGTAGCATGCTTCCTCCCATGCCTGGACATTGCCACCTTCCATTCAGGCTTCCCAGATAGCCAGGGTTTTAATGCACTACCAAGGACAAGACTCAGAGGCAAAACGTAATCAATGGGCCAGCCACATTGCTTGAGCCCAGTTTGTAAACAGTGTATAGCCCTACCTGTCCTGGCCTGTAGTCATTACACTTTCCACCATCACAAGTGTCCATGCAGTGGGGATAGCAGGTACAGCCTGTGTCCCATTAGTGTTGGCACTCACCAGCTCTGAGATCTTTGGCCACCCTACCTTCTAGAACTTTAGTTTCTTCTTTTGCAAAAACAAGGACTATGAAAGCACCAGATGTGTGGGGCTGCTGGAACCCCTTGTTCCTCCCTGTCCTGTGGGCCTATTAAAGTCTCAGTGGTCCCAGCTCAAGGGATATAAGAAGGAAGAAGCAACATTTCTATGGCCAACCTTATCACCAGACGTCAATGACAACAGAAGAATACAATTAAGGACAAGATAGTTCAGGCAAGACAGAAGAATGGCAGGGTGACAGAGCACATGGCTGCTCTATCACAGGTAGCAACAGAGGGCCACCCTTTGCATGGGGCCTGAAGACAAGGACGGAGAGAAAGATAGGTTTGGGTGTTGCTGTTCACCAATGCTCTGTACCAAGGATTAACAAAGCAGCTGTGTGGCAGGGAGCAGACCTAAAGCAAGGCCAGGTAGTAGATTTTCTAAGAATGAACCAACCACTCCCTGCCCCAATGACCTGGGAATCCTGAGGCTATAATCCACACAGTGTGCACAGCCTTCTCTCCCTGGCATTTCTATTCCCTAGAATGTTGTGTCTTCCCACATTCTGCCTTGGCAAGTGGCCTTCCATAGCCAGGGAAGCAGCCTGGCTGCCAGCCCTCAGATGCAGTGGGATGGTTTGTTAGAGAAAGAGAGATTACTACAGCACCCAAGTTTTCTGATCATTGGTAGAATGGAACCGTAGTTCCTTGCATTCTGTTAGCCATACACCCTGAGGTGGCAGACAGCAGTCCCAGATGAGTGCTTGGTTCAAGCTCCCCAAGTATGGGGACTCATTTTCATTACAACATAGACCCAAAACTGCAGTGAAGGTAGGGTCCAGTCCAGTGAGCTGTGCTTGACAAACCACACAGTCCTAATGCTACTCTTGACCTGACATTGTCCACAGCCCCAGCAGCAGACAGCACCCTCTGGGATACACTGAAGCATCACGAAGAGCCCTGCCTGTCCCTAAGTAGGTCAACTCCCTGTGCAGGACCTGGATATAGCCCCAGCTACTCCTCAGCCCTCCCAAAGGAGTCACACACACACACACACACACACACACACACACACACACACACAAAGTCAGAGCATTGCATTGCTCACAGTAAGGTAAATGCACACAAGAAGATTGGAAGTTCAGCCCTCTGAGTGCCTGCACAGCTCCCAGCAACCCAAGAAACAGTAACAGCATATCAATAATGGAAAAGTCATTTAAAAAAGAATCTCCAAAAATCTTCTGAAAAAAAGCCTCACTGCTCATATGGTCTTAGAATCACAGGACTGGCATCAACTACTGAGATGGTAGCTTCCAAATTTGCTTTGACCTCCAAAACTATGGCTCATCTGCAATTCACCCAGAAGCCCCAGATGCAAGCAGGCTGCTCTGGCAGAGGCTGGGTCATCTGTTTGGCACCTTCACTCCTCTTCTGCAGCTCCGGATAGTCCCTAAGACAACTCCAAGGACCCACAGGGCTCCACAAAGCACCAACAGAAACCCACTACTCCAAGCCAACTGTCTAGAGCAGATAGTAGAAAGGAGACCCAGGCTCTGAATGGCATATGAACAAAAACCTAGTTCCCAGACTCCAGGCTGACACTTGTCACACCACTCTGCTACAATCAGGTTCCTTGCTCATTTTAGGTTGCCTACAACATAACCTTATGCATCGTAAAGGACCCTGAGTCAGTCAAGTGGGAAACAGAGTTCAGCCCCAGGCTGGCAGGAAGAAGGTTGGAAAAAAGTCAAAGAAACATGTCTAGAAATTCCATACAGTTCTGTCAGTTCTTAGGACATAAACAGGTCTTGAGAGGCCTGGGCTGTGCCCCTGTGAGAGCCTCTGGAGCAGGCAGGCCAGGAGGTAAACACTAATGAGCTATGGAAATAGCGATTACTTCTCCCACGTCAGGCTCTGTGCCAGCTAAGGAGGATAAAGAGGTCTGAGATATTTTTAAAGTATTTTTACAGCAGAAAAACTTTCCTACAGACTCAATTATATAACTATCAGACTCCACCTCTGAGCTGAAATTATCCAAGGCCTCAGGATGAAAAAAGAAAAAAAAATAAATAAATAAGAGAGGGGGATGAAAAAGGAAAGAGAGAAATAATTTTTTTTTTCCTACATGAGGGTCACAGGTCTCTCCAGAGAACTTTGAACTATATGGCCAGTGACCCAGGACAGCTGCAAGCCATCAATCCCCAGACCTCAAGGGCAATTTGAAGACAGCTAGAGACAAAAAACTGGCCAAGCCAAGGGCAGAAGTCACATGTTGCACCTAGCCAGTGTAGATAATGTCGACAGATCAAGGAAGATCTGTTGAGGGCTACCAAACCCAGCCACATGAGTGCCCATCCCATTCCCTGGAACCCAAATGGGGCTCAGGTATTTGAGGCTGTGAGGATGCAGAGAGAGTGTCTCCTTGGTTCACAGTGACTGTTCTTAGCAGAGCACATGGTCAGTGAGGGAAAGCCCAGGGCTTAAGCCATGTAGACATTCAGCAAGAACAGGATGGGAAAAACCAAAGGGGCAGCTGAGGGAGGTTAACTTACAGCCCATGTTTTCGTCAGCCTGAAGATGGGAGCACTTTGTAATGCTGACACCACAGACATGAGAGAATGAAGGTTGTTGAGTTCTAGAAGTTTCTGGGGAAACAAAAAGATATGGAATACATTATTTTGCTGCCATAGACAACAGAACAAAAACATGCTTGAGTGTTGCCAAATGTCATATTTATGAAATTCAGTTACACTCAAAATATCTCACATAGAAAATATTGTTCTACAAAGTTCATAGGAAACATATGCTCCTTTCCTCCCATTTTTTTCAGAAGGTGAGTCTCCATCTAAAAACTTGCCAATTTTCATAGTCTGGCTTGTTTAACTGCTGGATGGAAGCAAGGCTTGAAACTGGACAATCCCTTTATGTTTTTCATAGATGACCCTGAACAGGCTTCTATGAGAAGACCCCAGGGTGCCAATAGCATCAGCAGCTTATACAGTGCTTACCTTCACCCTGGATGGGAAAGAGGCCAGGGAAGACGCTATCAATATGTGTAATGGCTCTCAGCTGGGAAGGCAAGGCTCAGGATTCCCAGGCCCTTGACTGTGAGCCTTTGAACCAGACCCCAAAAATGAGTGAGGACATACGGTGTCACTTAAGTCACAGACAAGTTTTTTACCACAGAGGGCCACAGAGAGGGCCACGGCAGAGAGTCGGGGCAGAATGCTGTAATCTCTGTTCTCATTTTTTTCATGCTGATGGGCGGGGCCCTGCTTCTCACTCCTGGTGGGCAGTGAAGCCTGGCCTAGCCAGCAGGCTCTGTGAACACGCTACCAGCTCCTTCTTCTTGTTTTTCTTTGGCAAGTTACCCAGGCCTTCTGCATTTCAGTGTCCCCAGAGTTAAACTGAGGGTGATGACTATGGTAGCTGTGCCTCCTGAGACAAACGTATCAGCTGCCCAGCTGGGCAGGTCTCTGTCTTCCCTATATGGAAGGCTCATTTCCACTCCCTCACTGACTGTCTTGGGTACCTTCAGCCTCAGGTGGCCTTCCTCTACCATGCCTTCGCTACCCATGTTCTCAAATGCTTGTGTTCCCATGTATGTCCTGTGGCACATGGACAAAGTGTTATCTACCACCTGGCACCTGTACCTTGCGAAAAGCCTAGCGAAGTAGACAAGATAAATAAATCAATAAAAGCCTTTGGGCCTGGACCCTACAGCTCTGCTCCTACTTGGAAACATGGCCCTGACTACACAAACTTAGCGATTCGTTTCAGACATCTTGTAACAAGAACAGATTCTCCCAGGGAGATTTCAATTGAGCATCTCAATTGCTGTGCCTGCCACAGACTTTCCTCCTGATATCATGGTCTCTAGGGCATTATCTAACCTGTCCCTTTCTTTTCTAGAGACTAGAAAACCAGTGCTCAGGGAGGTAGGAGGCCTACCCGAGACATACGTGGTGCACTGCCAAAATGACAATCCTCAGTAAGGGAGGGGACAGAGACTAAGGAGGGGTCACTGGGGTTCCTTGGGTGGGGACTATACTCATTTCCAAACAGAAGGTCTACAAAAGGACTGAAGCCTGCTCAACATCCTCTTCTGACCCAGCCTCAAGCAGCACAAAAAACAGCACCGATCCCAAATGTTTCTGGAGACTCCATAGGACAGTGACCTTTGCCCCTGAGAGAGTTAGAAACTGCTTAACCTCCTGGGGATGGGAGGCACAGCAGCTCCACGGAGGGCATGTATGGCTGAGAGCCCTGCTCTGTTAGCTGGCTGGAGCCCTCAGCATAGACACTTCATCTCTCTTCACCACCCCTTCCTACTGTGCAAATGGAATGATAGCCTTGAACGACAAATTTGACCACACCGGCACAGCAGTTGCCACACACCTGGCACCAAAGGGCCTGGGTCCAGAATCACGGTGGGAGGACAACACGTGTGCACCTAGAGGAAGTCATGAACTGGGTAGAACTGGGCTGCCAAGGAGTCTGTCAGGCCCAGGAACCGCTACTGAGCGTGACAGTGGTTCAGGAAAGCCATGGCACCACACAGCCTGACAGGCAGAGAAAAAGGGAAAGGTGGAGTCCGGCAAGCAGCATGGACAGAGCCTATCAGAGGGGCAGCAGGGTCAACTTGTCCAGGTCTTTGCTCAGAATGGGTGCGAGGGAGCCTGATGTTACAACTGTGTGGGACATGATTAGATCAAAGGCACTGAAGCTAACTACAACCTATCAGCCCCACGCACTGGCAAAGCCCAAAGGAGAATGGATGGATACCAGGGAACCACTGGTATCCACATGCAGAGACCGGAAGTCCAAGCAAGAGGAATAACAGGCCAAAGAATTATGAGACTGGAGGGGGCATATTTCTCAGGCTCACACAAGGTGTGAGCAGTCAGGTGGATCTCAGAACTGGCTCTGCCTGGAGAGGTCAGGTCACAGCCTTCTACCTGTCCCTCATCTAGCATCTGCCAAAGTTCAGAGGAAACACATTTTGAGAAACAAACAAACAACTTACCTTGGCTATTTTCACAAAATGGCTCAGGATTTCTGCCCTTATTTTTAAAGTCTGTGCTGTTAGAATTTCTCGTACAACCCAAAAACTGACCTGTAGAGTCAAACACACACACATACACACACACATCAGAGAAGTGGTTAAATGCTAGGCTGTCCATATCACCCTTTTCCCACCATGCAGGGTTTCCATGGGGCTAGGCAGCTTTGAGAGCACAGCCTAGGGTCACATGAAGGGGACTTGTAGCACCCAAATCCAGATGGGCCCCATGTCTGCCCTGTCTCCTTATGATACAGAACAGTTCTGGCCCCCACTATACACACCAGTGTCTCTGCAGGTGCCTCAGGGAAGATCCAGGTGTGGGGAGAAGATGGATGATAGAATGGATGGATGGACAGATGAAAATATGGAATATGGGCAAAAGTTCAGACAAAAAGTAGTGTCTACTAACCATACTTTCCACAAGTCCATACTCCCAGCCAAGCCCAACACAAGGAGAATTTGTTGATATTTGAACAATTGTAACAAACTTTCTTTTTTTTTTTTTTTTGGTTTTTTGAGACAGGGTTTCTCTGTGGCTTTGGAGCCTGTCCTGGAACTAGCTTTTATAGACCAGGCCGATCTCGAACTCACAGAGATCCACTTACCTCTGCCTCCCAAGTGCTGGGATTAAAGGCGTGTGCCGCCACCACCACCCTGCCAAACTTCATTTTCCAAAAGAGGTTTGCCAATAATAAAAGATGCAGAGTCCCACTAGGCCTGAGGGGTGTGGATTTTCTGGAGGTGGCATGGGCCAGCCATTAAGGTAGCTTTAGTTATTCATGCACAGCCCCTCACTTATACAAACAGCCTCCTGGGCCCTGAGTCTGTTGGTGGCTCACTCACAGCACCACAAGGAAACACAGAAAGCAGTCAGCCAAAGAATGCCAAGAAGCCTTAGTGCTTCTTGTTTATGCCTCATTGACATCAGGACAGTGGTGTCGGAGAGTGCAGGGCAGCGAGGCAGAGAGATGATGCAGAGGATGCAGCTATGTGTATGGTGGGTAAGAAGGTGAGATGTGGAAATCCCTCATTCCACAAGGAAAGAGGTATTGAAGGACAGCCTGAAGTTAACAAAACAAGCTTGCTGCACAAGAGCACAACTTCTCCTGACTAAAATACTGCTGCTTTACCAACAGAAAGCAAGAGATACTGAGAATAAGCAATTGGCCATTTTGTTAAGCCTCAGTGTAATTAGTCAAGGCTGCCTACAGGTTATGCCAGGATTTCCATAGAATCATTTTTTCCAGCGAATTGTCAAAATTAAGTTCAGACTCAAATGTTTACCAGGTGCTTCTGGAAGACAGTCATTCTGGACACCAAACAGAAGCCTGCAAAGCTTATATTTAATATGCGCACTTCCTATGCTACATAACCTCAAGTGTGATGCTCCATTATGTATAATTCAACAGATTCTTGTGTGCCAAAACTTCACATTCTCCTGGAATGGTTCTGGAAGGAGTAGAGCTAGTTAGGGACCTGCACACCTAGTGTGCAGAGGCTCTGAGGCAACAGTCAGTTCAACAAAGTTGCATGAAGCCCTACTATGTTCAGGATCCAGGCACTCTAAGTCTGTATCTGGTCCAGTGGAAGAGTCCTCCAAAAAATCAGGACCAGAAGGTAGCTGTAATGATGGCTGTAGCTCAGAGTCTGAGGACTGCAGTGTAGGGCCCTGACAGACAGGAGGCAGCTTACTCAGTAAGGCAGGGCTGAGGTGTCACTGTGTATGCCATGATTCAGAACAGCTACATGGCTGACGGGCTTGGAGAAGGGCTATGTGGTACAGTGGTGAGGACAGACAACCATATGTGGACCACCATACTTCAGTGCTGGAGCAAGAAACAAAGGGTCTAGGGCACCACCCAGTTCAGGGTGCTTGGCTTCTGAGTGCAGTGACAAAGGTAACCCCTGTCAAGCAAGAGCACTCACTGAAACGCAGAGGCAGAGGTCTGTGAGGTATGGACCTGGGAGGGCTGTAGTGCTGAAGAGGGGGGTAGACAGGGGCAAGAAAGACAGGCAGGGGTACAAGTATATGGTTTTTAAATCTCCAATTACAAAATTTAAACATTAAAAGAAAGAAAGAAAGAAAGAAAGAAAGAAAGAAAGAAAGAAAGAAAAGAAAGCAAAGAAGCACAAAGGCAGAGGTCATTTGCAAGCTCAGATCTACAGACCAACAATGACAAGCTATGATTTATGTCCTGTTCCTCCCCTCCCCATATCCATACTTGGCTTGAATCGAAACTGGTAAATTTTAAGCATATATATCACAAGCAGCTTTAGAAATGATAAGTATTTATCTGTGATTTTTCCAGCATCTAAGAATTTCATCACCAATATGTTTACCACTGTGGGGTTACTACTAGAGCTCTAGTATAATAAACAAGACTGTGGTGATATCTTCAGACACATTTCTGTAGATTTGTTATGAATGCATAGGACAAGCTCTTGAAAGGTGACTTGAACAAAAGTATAAAGAACCTAGCCACCAAAGGTCTGCTGGTAAATGTAAAGGGACCTGTGTTCTCAAACAGGGCTCAAACGTATCACAATCATTGCTCTTCACTAGCACAGAACACCAGACGGTAGCTTGCTGTATACTCTGCCCTCCCCTCATGCCCATCCAAGTATCTGTTTCCTGTAGTTTCTAGTTGGCATTTTTTGTTCTATCTTTTGCCCCTCCTGCCTCCACTTCCTGAGTTCTGGGATTAGAGGTGTGCACCACAATACCTAGTTAATATGGTGCCGGGACTGAGCTCAGGGCTTTCTGTGTGCTACATAAATACTCACCTGAGCTGCATCCCTAGCTCTGCACCCAATATTTATAAGCCATGTGTACCGTCTGCCTGCTCGGGTCCTTTACTCATCTCTCTATTGTGCCATATGCCCTCTTCCTACTATTGTTTGAGAAAAGCATTTTGTGTATTTAAGAGCAGAGAAAACAGGTACATTTATATAAGGATTGGGTGATGAGAAATAAGAATATTTTGAAGAACAACTTGAATATACCCATCTATATATTTAAAGGTACATTCTCTTTTAAAAGATTTACCCTGTAAAATACAGAAGTATTTTGTGAACATTTATTTTATTTTTTTGGTTTTTTCAGTACAGGGTTTCTCCATGTAGCCCGGCTGTCCTTAAACTCATTCTGTAGACCAGAACTCAAGAGACCTGCCTTTGGAGTGCTGGGATTAAAGGTGTGTGCCACCACAGGCCGGGTTTATGAACATTTATAAACATGACAAAGTTAAAAGCCAGTCAACAACGTACTTGTACATGGCCTATTGATCCTCTGTCCATCACACTTTGGAAAGAAATGGCTATGTTTGCCCACTCTTCCTAGATATATGCTTCCTCCTCTCCTGCATGAAGCTATGCTCCACCTTCCTGAAGACAAGCAACTGCATGCACTGAGAGCCTACTGTATGGAACACACATCTATTTTCACCATTTATGCATTTGACCACTTATTTATAGCAGCATGGTCTTGTGGACACTTAAAAGAACTTTGGTTTGTTGTCCAATGCTACCTTATTTATTTTGTGGCTCCAACTATTCCTACTTTACCCATTCATCCAAAGCACTCTGTTCTCCCCACTCCTTTGTCATAACCCAGTTGTGTTTTGGTTTGTTGGTCTGTATATTGCCTCTTCTTCTGGTACTACATATGCTTCAGACCCATTATGCACATTCCTTGCACAGCCCTAAAAGCAGTCTTTTCTCCAAGGAACTCTGGTTCCATTTATTAAATAATACTATTAGAAACCAAGATTGGTTCTGGGATTTACTTGCTGATAACAGACTACTGGTGCTTCTTGACCTCCTCAATTAAAGAGGAAGGAAGAGAATGTGTGTGTGTGTGCCCTCTTGCACATGCACACCTGTGAACGTAAGTGTATGCAAACGTGTGTGTGCATGTGAATATGTGACTGTATTTGGTGTGCACATGCATGCCTGTATGTACATGTTCGCATAAGCATGTGTGAGAATGTGCATGTATGTGTGTGTTTGAGTGTATTTGTGTGTGTGAGCACACTTGTGTGACTGCTTTTTGTGCATGCATATACTACCCATGTACAGTTATATTTCTCTATGTAAGCAACTTTAAAATTCATATGAATTCATACTGTTATCCCCAACTCTATGCAATTAGCACATGGATTCTAGCTCCTCCCCTTGTTTATCTGTAACTTCCCACTCCACCAGAGAGAAACCAGATCCCGGGAAACGGTCATCTACATCTCAGCTGTCCACTTGCCAGCATACATCCTTCAGCACTATTTCCTAACTGCTAACCAGAAGAACACTTGTAGATAGGACACGGTGCTCCTGTGTAATTTCCCCTTGCCCTCTGAAGAGTGACTTCACAACTTTGAAAGCACATGCAGAGCTGTGTATTCACTGTTCTTTTGTTTTGCATTTTTGCATGTTCCATCTTCAAGCTGAAGTTTCTAGTTTGTGTGTATTGAGGTCTTGGTGCTATAATGTTCTGTGTGCTTTCATAAAGACACTGTCATGAATCCATCATTACCCTATATAGAACTGTCTCGCCCTCTTAAACATACAAATCTGGGCTAGAGGTGTGGTTCACTGATAAAGCAAGGAAAAAGCTCTGAGGTCCATCCACAGCATTGGGGGAGGGAGTCAACAGAAACTCCCTTTTCTTTTTCCTTATTTTATTTTATTTTATTTTATTTTATTTATTTATTTATTTATTTTTGTGACAGGGTTTCTCTATAGTTTTGGAGTCTTCCCTGGAACTTACTCTGTAGACCAGACTGGCCTTATACTCACAGAGATCCACCTGCCTCTGCCTCCCAAGTGCTGGGATTAATGGCAGGCACCACCACCACCTGGTTCGTCTCTGTAGTTCTACCTTTTCCAGAATGTCATGGAAAGAAGAGAAAGAGAACAGGAAGCAAAAGGTAGTCTTCTACACTGGCTTTCACCTTGAAGTACATGCTGAAAAGCCCCTGTGTCTATGTGACTTCATAGCTCATTCCACTTTCTAAGTAAATACTATGCCATGTGTTTGCCCATGCCCTGCTGATGAC